TCAACCGAAGGGCCTGTGACCTGCAGGAATCTGTGGAAGATCTTCTTGAAGCCATCAAAATCTTTTCTGGAGATCTGAAACAACAACAAAACGAACGTCACCTTCTGCTTTCAGAAAAGCTAAACAATCACACAAGCTTCAGTGACAGTGATCGAGATCAAAGGTCTGCAGAATCAACATTTAGAGTAATGTTTATTCATTTATATTAATTTATATTAATTAATGTTCATTAATGTACACTGTGATTTAACTAATAAATAAATACGCCCCTTGCTGACACACAAATTAACAATGAGATACAAAAAAAACTAATAATGACCAAAAAGACACCATGGTGGCGTGGCTGCCAGTACATTGAGTTTGTTCATGAAGTCACCGGTCTGTTTGTCTGTTATTAGGAAAAACTTAACTGTGGATAGTCATTATTTTCATATTTATTTTATTCATGTCATCAGTACAGTGTCACATCTGTCTGCGCAATGTGCGTGTCAGATCTCTCCCCCTGCTGTGGCTGCCTGAAGCTTCACTTTCCCTGTCCTCGCGACTGTAAATTCCACTAACCACAAGAAAACAAAAAGGGGAAAGAACACGATGAGTGTTACTTTGTGGCTATAACAACGCTGTTGCCACAATGTACAAATAACCTGCTCCAAACAGTGTGTGATAGAGAGAGCTAAATCAGACACACAGAAACTCTCCTACTTTCTGCCATATCATTGCAGCTAAATGTATTTCCTCAAGCAACAAATGGAGAACTATTGTTGTTTGTATAAAGTAACTTAATTATCCCATTATAATTAATTATGTATTTTTTAATGTTTACATGTGTGAATTTATGCTCTGGCAATATTGCAACCTAAACATTCATGGCAAAGAGCAAGAAATAGAGAGAGAGAGATCTCATCTCATGGAAACAAGTTTCTGCCACTACGTATCAAAGTTTCCTCCTCACTAGAGGACGAGCTGTCCAGGCTGGACCCTGATCCTTCTCACAAGAGGTGTTACAATAACTACCACAATAGAAAGTCGCAGACATCAGCCCATGGACCTGTACGTGCATCACGTACAGGTCTGTGTGTGGCGGTGGCGAAACTCAGTGATCCTTGAGAAAATGTAGCGTGCGTGAAAGCTACCGTGCTACTCTGTCAATAAAAGAGCTTCATTACTGAAAAGCTATTTGATTCAGAAAATAGCGATGCTACCACTAAGCTACTGAGAAATGTAGTTAAACTAGTAACGGCACTAAAGTGCCAAACATGAGGCTTCAAAACAGTAGTTCACAAACTAATGGGTGACGTCACGCAGGCTCCTTCCACTTCTTTTATATAGACTATGGAAGAGACCTGACATCATTAGCAGCGGGAGAAACTGCAGCAAAAGATCTCTTCACTATATTCTCATTCACTGCAGCAGTACACGAGTGGTTTTAGAGTTGGGGTAAGGGCCAGGGATCATTAAGGTCAGGGTAAGGGGTTAGGGAATGCATTTTGTCAATGAGAACAAATGTGTGTGCGTGTGTGACCTCACGGTTGTTCACCTCATATTCCACCAGCATGCCAAAACTCTCCCAACAGAGTCTTTGTGCTGCGTGATAAGACAACCTATTGCACTCTCTCTGTATGCAATACTTTACAAATATTTGTACTGTATTTGTAACAGGTACATCGGCCCACGACACTCATTAACTTCGTGTGCCACCCATAACCATAAACTGTGGTTCACAAATGGAAACTTAGGACTTTAAAAAATGTATTAGTGTTGCAGGAAAGTTAATTTATTCCAACATATATAAAAACAAAGCTGGAAAAGGTTTCTGACTGAATAGAGCTGAGGAGGTACGGATGAAATCTCCGAGGTAAAGGTTCTTTGTACCCACATCAGTCCCTTTACGCTGCATAACAGCTTTAAGTTGACACCCCTGTTAGATGTCGTCCCGCCCAGTGACACATAAAAACTAATTATTGTTTCAATAAGAGTACAATAAAGTTGAAAAAAATCACATCAACATACAGCTCAAGCTTAGTCCGCCTCATATTGTGGAAACATTACAACTGGGATTAACTGTGGGTAGCTGGTGTTTCAGATACAAACTAATCTTTCTAGAGAGGAAATATTGGGGATGTTTGCAGCAGTGGTTCTCACCTCTGCCTCGGCCTTGTTGGCGGTGTTGAGCAGCGCCTCCAGCTCGCGGTGCATCGAGTCCTCGTGCTGCTGGCGGAGCTTCTCCTGGAACTCTGTCATCGCTCCTCTGGTCAGATCTGCAAAACACACAGATCTTCCTTTTTAAATTTTGACTTTTTGTTAAGAGACCAAACGCCAAGAATTATTTTCCAAAGGTTTGTTCGTCTGCATGTTTGAAGTCACAGACTTGAGTTTCAAAAAAACAGAATGCACTGCAGATATTCAACTCAGACTCAGTATTTAAAGACCGACAACTCTTTTCGATGACCTTGTTGAAATGAAGAATAAGTTAACGCAAATCAGTCAAGTTTACCATCTATCAATACATACAATGTGTGGGTTTAATCATCCGGACTGGATTATATCTGATACTAGAGCTGCAACGATCAGTCCATTAATCGATTAGTTATCAACTATTAAATTAATCGTCAACTATTTTTATTGATTTGAGTCCTTTTTTAAAGAAAAAACCTTGCAATTCTCTGACTTCAGCTTCTCAAATGTGAATATTTTCTGATTTCTTTGCTCCTCTATGACAGTAAACTGAATATATTTGGGTTGTGGACAAAAGAAGGCATTTGAGGACGTCTTCTAGGGCTTTGGGAAACATTTTTCGCCATTTTTGACAATCTGGACCTAACAACTCGATTCATCGAGAAAATAATCGACAAATTAATCGATAATGAAAATAGTTGCTTGCTTGAAGCCCTATCTGATACGTTTCTAAAGCTGCTTTCAATCAAAAAACACAACACTCAACAGACAAAACCAATGTTTTACAATTTGACCTTAAATCACTTGAAGCAAATAAACTTCAAAACAACATGTAGTGAAGTCTTTGTATTTCTAAAATATCAATCTATAAGCTTTATTTTTGTCTTATAATTGCCCCTTGTGCAATTTTAAAATCTGAAACGGAAATTAATTTCAGTGTGTAACTAATTAATCAACAAGTACTCCCCAAACAAACAGTAGTACAATGGAAAATAATAGAACAATAAAGATTTCTACAGAATAGTAAAACGTTGTACAGTAATAGACTGATATCTGTCATTTTGAAATAATCAGCCCCGCTCTGAAACCTACAGCAGAAGCCAAAGTATGTTTCCGTTTCATTCATTAATAAAACTTCCATCTAAAACATCACGTTACTGGCTGCTGAGGTAACCTGTATATTAGATTGGACTCTGCAGGAGTAATGGGATTATACATGAATTTTCCTTGTTTTGATATCAGTATTTTATATCTTGCTCTCAAAATATCGGTATTGACCACTGAAAAACTTGTATCGGTCAACCAACGTGCCCAGAAAACACCTACCTTACTAATCTGGTCATATATTTTCATATTCGTTCATTAAATTAAAACTTTCTCTTAAGCTTCTCACTCCAACTGTTCCACAAATTCCCCACTTTTTAAATTAAAGTTCCATGTTCTGCAATTTAAGCTCAAATGTAAAGATGATATCAACTGAAACTACAGTTTTTAAAAACAAAAAAACAAACCCCCCCCAACATGCAGTAATATTAAAAGAATTTTTTAAATGTCACAAACATATCCTTCCTTGTCTGGTTGTCCAACAAACTGTAAAAAAAAACAGTAAAAGCTGCCAAAACTAAACTGCTGACATGAAAGTGGAAGTAACTGAGCTTCAGTGTCCGAGGTTAACTGAGGGTTTTTAAGTACAGAATTTGTATCAGAACTTTTGTTAGGAATGTAACAAACGTTTCTAAAAACCAAAAGCATTTTGTATCTATTTTGTATCTCTTATTAAATATTGTAGATGTAAAACACCACGTCAGACTCGCTGTTAGTGGAAAGCAGAAAATGACTTTGATATAAACTTTGATTTACACTTACCAGCTACAGTTAGAGACATTTTACCAGCGTCTGCTCAACAACACGGTACACTAAAGATAAGATCAGTGGAGAGGGAAGCAGCTTTGGTGGCAGACGTGTCGGCTCACAGTGAGACCAAGTGTTCGATAAAATGGTCCCAAGAACAAATAGACTAAGTCAGCAGCTGTCAGAGAACAACAGACGTCCTCGCCATCCTGAGCTCGAAGGAAGCTCACAGATCTGCAGCTCTGACCCTGAATACAACACAAGGCCTGCCCACAGCCACGCACACACGCCAATCACACACAGCTAGTGAGTGTGTGTGTGGCTGTTTTGCCAACTGCACGCTAAAATACGAGTTAGTTTGGGTTTTTACATCCTGAGACACAATAAAGAAAACAATTAGTGCTGAAACTATAAGGTGGTTAATTAATTACAATTTTGATGACTGATTCAGCCTTTTAATGTATTTACTGAGCAAAAAAAACTAGAACAGCAGGTCGGACCAAAAACAACGTATCTGAAAATGTCACTATGAGTTCCTGTGAAGTGTATTTTTTAGACTAAATTCAATAAAAGATAATTGACTGATTCATCGATAATGAATAAAGTGTATTAGCAGCCTTAAAAACACCACATTTCAGTGTAGTGCATATACTTAATTAATTGTGCAATATCCAAATCCCAAAAGCAGAAATGTGTCACAGCATACTTTGATAAATGAAGCATTGTGGTGCTACAGAGGCAGAGATATCCGTTTGCATATTATTCAGCCCAAACGTTACTTGTGACATAGTGGTGAATTTTTGAGCATTTGCCAAAGTAAACACATAAAAGCATGGAATTCAGAGCTGGGTATCACACCCTACATATGTTTAATGGAAGCAACAGAAATGTGTCTGCAGTGACAATATTCGAAAATTGTCAGACAACTTTTTAAAAATTGGTCCAGTAATGAGCGATCGCGCTGCACTCAGAGTTCTTGCCATTGCGCCCAAGACAAAGTACGTCCACTAAAGTGCCTGTTTTTGCCACTGATAGTCTCAAACTGTATATACAAGTGTTTGACGACATTACGAAAAGGATCCCTAAAGAGTGAGACATTTTTTAAAGAGTAAGATTATTTTTTGTTTAACCACAAACAGTCGCTATATGACTTCTATATGGACTCGTCAAAGCCGACTCCATTAATAAAAACAGTCATTTTACACCAATGGGAGATGTTGGTCTACAGCTGCCTCCATCGGTTAGTTTGTTTGTGTTATGAGTTTGCTGTTGTTTTTTGTTTGTGTGACTTTGTTGTTTTTGTTTGTTTGTGTTTTAAGCCACACAATAACAGAAACTAACCAATCCAGGCAGCAGTAGAACAGAGAGGTAAAATTACAGTTTTTAGCAATGGAGTCTGGTGGCAATATTGCGACTGTTTCCAATTAAACATTCTCTATAAGGATCCTTTCCATAATGTTGTCAGACATTTATAATACCAATCTGAACCTGTCAGTGGCAAAAACACACACTTTAGTGCACGTACTTTGACTGGGTGCAATTGCCCGCAAAGATCATGTTGCAGCCCTGTTAAACTGCTGCCGACTGCAGCGCGCTCGCTGCTGGACCAGTTTCAAAAAATGTTGTCCCGATTAGTCACATAGACACAAAAACATAGGAAAATAGGGTCCAGGTTAAAAAATACTGATGTTACCTTTTAAATATTTTAAAAAGCTTCAAACTTTAGTTTAGTAAACGTTGAACAATTTTGTCAAGTTTCTGCACCATAGCGGCAGTGTCAAAAAAAAATGTGGTCCACCTGTTTTGTCCTCTTATATATGCTATATCTATATATATTTGTGTATATAAATGTAAAATGAATGGATATTTTTAATGTTTTTGCACTCATGCTCTACTGTTTTAGTATGTATTTTATAAATTCAATGGTTGTGATCAGTAAATGTACATAAAGTGGTGCAGGGGGAGTAGTTTAGTTGAACTTTGTGTTATATTTGTTATAACGTTTTTTGTCATTGATGGGCCAGATATCGGTGTATTGGTGACTGTGATGCGATTTAGGTGTAGCTTTATCTACACTGAACAACAGAGGTCGCTGCAGTGTGTGAGTTTGTTTTCAGAGTGAAGCAAGGAGTTAAAATGCTAGTCCGTTCAAGGATGTCTACAACTGTTAATAAATAGTAAACAGCATGAGTCAGTGAACTTCATGACAGTGATATATAGAGCAAGGCAAATAATATAAAAACATTTAAACATAGATTTTGATTTTATGGGAATTCAATGGGAATTTTGTAGTTTATGTTGTTTATGTCATGTGCACTGTAATCTCTTACTGCTTGAAAATGGCTTTCATGTAAAAATAACTTCCTCAGTGAGGTTTTAACGCTGACCTTTACCTTCACCCTTGTGCAAAGGTTACTTATTCAGAGTCTTTTAAAATCATTTTCCACATTTCAAAGTGTGGTCAGGGAAACCATGACGGGACTTCAGGGGGCCTTGGCAGGAAAATGAAGTCTTGAGTTAACTGAATTGTAATTCACTTGAAACATAGTTTTCTTCTCCAAATTCACAAAATCACCTTAAAATTCATCTTCCTGGCTTGTTTCATTTGACTTAATAGTGTGTGTTTTTTATTTTGATGTGACCAGTTATTTCTATTTCGTACTTTATCATTTATAGCTATGATTGTACCCTTCTAAAATCACATGTATTTTACATCACCTTGCTTTTCTTTCTTGTTTTAATACCTTTTTATGTCTTACATGAGGCACTATGAAATTCCTTGTTGAAAGGTGCAACTCAATAGACTCAACTCTTTTAGTTGTAACGTTACACTTCTGTGTTTTAAAGCACTTTGTACCTGTGTTTGGGTGGGAAGTAACGTCATGTAAAGTTATTTTTCCATTTATTATTAGAATATATGTATATATAAAGTACATTTTAATTTATTTTCGAGTAACGTTATATCAGATTTCTGGTGTATTTTGTGTCGTCATTTACTAGTAACATGCACGCGCACACTCACGCACGCTCACGCAGAGGGGAAGCAGGTTCATGCCAGCAACTTAACACGTGTATCTGTGCATTGTAATTGTAATTCCACACACAAAATGCAAAACACTTGTTTTGACGAACTTTTCGTGCACAAAAAGCCACCAGGTCTGACGAAGCTGTGCTGCGTTAACATACCCACCTGAACCGCCTGTCAAAGTACCGGGAGAGCCTCAAAAATACAGAGCGGAGGACAACACGGACAACCTCAGGCCGGGACAGACTACCGCTCAGCCCCGGAGGACTCGGTTTAGGAACAAATAATCGAGTTAAAATGTTTAAAATCGCCGTGGCTTCATCCTCCTCCTGCTGCTGCTGCTGCTGTTAGCTTCTGTGGCTCACACAGCCAACAGTCATTGACGTAGCGGGTGCAAGTCTCAAAGAAGAACGGTCATTGGTCGAAGATGTCCATCAATCAGATGGCGCTGACATGTCCCGCCCACCCAGGATGGTCTATTTTTAGCTGTATTTTTACAACCTAAACGCTTTATTTATTTAATTTAAATTGATTTAGAGTTTTGAAATTTCATTTTTCTATTTATATTTTATTCATAAATTTGTATCTTAGCTTTCATCACATTTTACGCCCGTTTCATTCGGTTTTCTACGGAATTAGGGCCACATTTAGTGAAAAAAAAGAGGATTAAGTTGTTGTTTTTTTGTTTTTTCCATTTAGAGAATAAAGTCAGAATGAGGAAACTAAAGTTTAAGTACCATTTCGAGAAAAAAGTCGAAATGTCCAGAATAAACTCAACATGACGAGAATAAAGTTGAAATGGTACTTTATTCTCCTCACTTTTACTTTATTTTTGAAATGGAATAAAATAAATAAATAAAACGTTTCCCCTTAATATGGCCCTAATACTCCATTGTAGTTTTCTGTCCATTCAATTCATTTTTGTTTCAATTGCATCCAATTTTGACTCAATCCCTGTTTATTCTGTCGCAAATTCAGCCATTAGTATTAATTTCAAATATGAAATTTTTAGTTTTACAACTTTATTTTTTGTTAAAAAATATACTTTGCACTAATTTCAGCCCAAATATGAATCAGGAATCCAGTATGGATCGATGCTGCCACCATGTTGTTAAAGTAAGTCACTGCAAAACACTGGATGTGATAGAGATCATAACTTAAAGGAGGATAGAAACAGGGCCTGATGGAAATCACTCATTAAATTACATTTACATTTATTCATTTAGCTAAAGCTTTTATCCAAAGCAACACCTCTGGAGCAACAAGGGGTTAAGTGTCTTGCTCAGTCACAGTGGATTCAAACCCTGGTCTCTCACACCAAAGGCATGTGACTTATCCACTGTACCATCACCACTTCACTCATCAGGTTTCTATTGGGATTTATTGCATTTTTAAAAACTTCTGGTATAAAGAAAATAAAAGCTTTACAACCAATTGCCCCTATGCAACATGGAAAGGGAGCCTTCAGTTTCTGATTACCAAAATATCAAAAGCAAACACAGAAAATATCTGCTCCAATCATCTCTTTTTTTTTTAACTGCCTTTAATTAAGTTCACTTAATTTCATAGCTTTATCGTCTCTGTGTTGCTTAACATTGCCCTGTGTTTCGTTTCATATTTTGTATCGTCCTTTATGTCTTCTGTAAGGAGCTATACAAACAAACCTTTCCTAAAGATGATTTGAAACCTTTTTTCTGTGTGATCAGATGTTTTGGACACTGTTGAAACAGCTGTAGGAGTTTCTTTAAGAAAGTAAGTGCAAAGCACATATTGAACTTCTGATAATCTCTTTTATACAATAACTAAATATACAAATAAGACTTTTACATTTACTCATACAATGACACTTTACACTTATTTTGATGTTTGGGATTTAAAGGCCAAAATATGTGTGATCGATTCACAATATAGATGAAAGTACTGGGCACCCGTGTCCTAATACTTTTGGGAGGGGCTGTTTCTTCATGGGTTGGTTTTGTTGAAGTCTTAATGCTACAGCATATGATTTCAGACAACAGTTTGTTTTTTTCCCCCTGTCCTGTTTCAATATGACAAAGCCATAAAGAAATGGTTTTCCCATTGTGGTGTGGAAGAACTTGACTGCACCGCTCAGAGCCCTGACCTCAACCCTATCCAACACCTTTGGGATGAACTAGAACAGAGATTACGAGCCAGACCCTCTCGTCCAACGTCAGCGTCTGACCTCAAATTCTCTTCTGGATGAACGGGCAAGAACTCCCACAGACACTCTAAAATTATGTAGAAACCTTTCCCAGAAGAGTGGAAGCTGTTAAGCTGAAAAGTGGGGACCAACTTCATATTAACGCGTGTGGATTTAGAATAGGATGTCATAAAAGTAATGTGTAAGTGTCCCATTACTTTTGTCAGCATAGAGTATTTTTACATTTTTTTCCATAACATAACAAATGTTCAAAAAAACCATCAGGCTTCTTCAACTTTCACTCAGGAGCAAAATCAGCCTTGAAACCCAAAAGAAATAATGATTTTATACTTATCGTGATAACATTTTGGCATCCGGCCCTACGTTTATGACTGCAATTCTGTTCTTGGCCTCAGATGACTGCAGGTAGCTCAGTGGTGAAATAACCATAATGAGACTAAGGAACGTCAAAGCAGCATAAAAAAAAATAAAATAAAGGGACTTCTTTCAGGTTTGTTGTTGTTTTATTGGTTTCATTACAGTTTCTGAACAGCTAGTGAGTTATCTACCAACAGAGACATTCTCAGCGTGTGTTGCAGGCCAGGTTGTGATCATTAAACAGGTTTTCTGAAAACCTGAAGAAGTGGCCGTGTGACACACATACACACTCCCACTCACACAGGTGACACACAGAGGCAGACGGGACGGTTAATAAGAGTGGAAGGTTCTGTCTTCAGAGCCGCGAGCAGTGATCTAAGGGTTGCTGCTGCTGCTGGCCAGCAGGGGGAGATAGTCACTGGGACAGGAAATCCAGGGCGGTGTCTCGCTCCTCCACCAGCTCAGCCGCTGTGGCGTCCATCTTGGCGCGGGAGAAGTCATTGATGGGGAGTCCGTTAACAATTTTCCAGGACTTATCCTGTGAGGGGCGGCAGAGGGAGAAGATCAGAGGACGAGCTACCAGCTTGAAGCCTCGAAATTGGCATTTTGGCCGTTGCCATCTTGGTTTTTTGGAACCAGAAGTATACGTGTCAGGGAGCTGATAGGATGGACTCACCTTGATCTGGATGGGGAAGGAGTAGATGAGGTCCTCTGGGATGCCGTAGGAGTTTCCGCCAGCGTACACGCCCATGGAGATGAACTCACCCTGTCGGCAGGAAAATACAAGAACGTCAGTTAGTCTAAATTTACAACAACACAAACACCTCCTGCATCAACTTCTTAACAAAAACAAAACACAAAACAACACAGACTGATGTCCAGTTCCTGGCCACAACCACAGGAAAATGGGTGGGAAATCTGACACTGTCATAAGTTCAGCAGGGACATACAGTATCTCATAAAAATCATGCGACAACACTGAAGAAATGACTCTTTGCTACAATGTAAAGTAGTGAGTGTGCAGCTTGTAGAACAGTTTAAATTTGCTGTCCACACTGACCTCCTTGGTGCCGAACCAGATGTCCCTCATGTGGTCGCAGATGGCCTTGGCAGCAGACATGGCACTGGACAGCTTCCTGGCTTTGATGACGGCTGCACCGCGCTGTTGCACCGTCTGCAGGAGGAATACGAAGAGGAGGAGGTTTGAAAAGGATAATTAACTGTAAAAATAAACCCTGAAAATCTTTCTAATTAAAGAACTGTAGCTCTTTTTCTAATGAAATCGAACGAGGGCGCTCACAGAGATGAAGTCTCCTCTGAGCCAGGTTTCGTCCTTGACGGCGTCGTAGGCGGGCGTCTCGGTGCCGTGGAGGTTGACCTTGGCGTGGTGGACGTCGGGGTACTGGGTGGAGGAGTGGTTCCCCCAGATGATGACGTTCTTCACTTTGTCGGAGGACACGCCGCAACGCATCGCCACCTGCAGGTGAGGGACAGACGCAGCAGCAGTGTTATGAGGTAGTAATTCTACTTATTTCTAAAATTTTAAAGCAATTGGCAATAATGCATCCGTTAATGTGATTATACTATGTGACCTTCACTCGATTATCATTAATGAAAAACAACCATAGTAGAGGCTCTTCTCATATATTGCATTTGTTACGGTTTCAATGGCCGTTATAATCAGCTAATTATATTTATTCTTATAATTCAGCTTGTACAGATTTAAAATAAGCCTGCCGAAAGCGTGTAAGCTGCTTGATGGAGGATGGACCATTGTCACTGTTTCACTTGTCGGGCTTGTTAAGTAAATAAAAAACAGAATTACATTTTCTTTCCCAACATTAACCCTTTTTAGTTCAACAAATGTGGTAAAATCAAACCGTTTTGTTTTTCTGAATTACCTGTGGATTTATGGTTTTGGATTTTAGTCTTCAGGAAAATCTCTGATACAGACACTTGATTTTTAGCCTTCCATCTGATGCTGGTACTGAGAACAACCAGTTCAAGTTCAAGACCTTGAGAGTGAGGACATTTTGTCGGGTTCTTAAATGTCGGCTTTAGTCTGGTCACTTTGATGAGAGCAACTATTTCTGCTAAAAGCAGACTCCATTGATAAAACAGTGATTTACATTTACTCATTTGGCAGATGCTTTTATGCAACGCGACTTGAGGAACAGCATACGATCATCAAATACAGCATGAGATCTACAACTGACAATACATAATAAAAGCTGCAGTAAATACTAGTAAGTGCTAACGGCACATATCGCATCAATGGGGTAAATACCTAGGGAAAGAAGTTAGAGTTAACAAAAAGTGCAATCAGTACAAGATAATTGTAGGGGATTTTACCTCACAGTACACAGGAACTGCTGGTCTACCGCTGCCTCCCTTGGTTAGTTTGTTTTTTTTGTTTGCATTGTTATGCGACTTTTGTGTTTTTAAAACGTTAAAAAAAGTCACCCAATAACACAAACTAACTAATTGAGGCACCAGAGAGATAAAAAATGTTGTCAGTGGAGTCTGGTTGAGTGCTATCTAGCGCCTGTTTCTTAAACACAAAGCATGTTACTCTTTAAAAAAAAGAAAAAAGAAAAAGTCTCTCTCTGCAGAGATCCTTTCCATAATGTTGAAGACACTTAACAGTCTGAGCCATTCAGTGGCAAAAATAAGCACTTAAGTGGACATGCTCTGACAGGGCACTATTGCCCGCATTGATTATGTTGCAGCCCTGTTTCACTGCTGCAGACTGCAGCGCGCTCGCTCAATACTGGACCATTTACAAAAAAAATGTCGCAGTTGGTCACTGGTCCAGGTTGAAAAATACTAAAGTTAGCCTTTAAGGGTTAGACAGGTTGTGGTCCTTGGTGTACTTACCTGGGAGCTGGCTCTGTTGTGGTCCAGTCGGGTCAGGCAGGAGAAGTTCTCTTTGGGGATGGAAGGAGCAGACTTGGAGGCGATCAGGCAGTTGGTGTTTGCCGGGTTTCCAACCACCAGAACCTGACGTGACAAATCAAAACACCTCCATCAGACTGATGGCGTCTCACACAGGTGACAAGATGGAATCACCCTGGTTTTGCAACACTAAAATAAAACAACAAACATCATCTCCACAAAATCTGAGCTGCTTGCCAGCATCACTCTTACAGCTGCAGTGTAGGCATATTTGGATGCATCATTTGGCTCAGTTTGATCTCAATCTGATCAAAGATATTGTGCACAACATTCAGATATAAATAATTTCAGCCACCTCTGGGACCAATACGCATCACAGATTCAGATTAACGGCTGTAACTACGAGGTTGAATATCAATTGTTTAGTTGCTCTTTTGAAAATGCAAATTTGTTATAATAAGAGAATGATTTTGATTTCCTTATTTAAATAAACAAAACAAATGTTCCCCACAAGATCTAAGATCTGGAGCTGCTGGGGACATTTCACAGGCGGTGATACAGAGTGGAGCTGTCAGGAGAGAGCCTTTTTTTTCCCTTCTTTAGTTGACTTTCAAACATCCAAGTGAAAATGTTCTGAATCTGTGCAGAAGAAACTGCCACACAAGGTGATGATTAATGTTCTGAATCTGAGGGAAATACAAAAGCTTTTACCCAACAACGCAGTTTTCCACAATGTTGAGTAAAGAAAGCTAAACTCAACAAATGCAGGACATAAAGTCAGGAGCTGCTCTGTTTAGACTTTCTTTTATAAGCGAGCTCAGACCTGAACCATCTTCATGTTCATTCTTGGGAAAGCTGCTTTTCTTTCTCACTTTCCCAGAATCCTCGCTGACATGACGGGCTTACGACAGACTGAGATGAGAATCTTCTTCATTCCTTGTGGATGTTTCAGTATATGATACTAAATACTGACAGAAAAAGGGTTTCTACTAACACACAAACTGCAACACAGAGGAGAGTTTAGTGTGAACTAATCTGTTTTCTCCAGGTGGTTCGACAGACCTGAGAAGAATCTGTGGTAACAGAAAAACTGGAGGACAATCTCAACTCTTTCATGATTAAAATTTAGAGGAGAGTATAATATATTTTATCGCCTTAATTCTAAATGGACTTTTATTAGTTTTGGTTTAAAACAGAAAAAAATATATAAAGACAGTGAAAACTGTTTTGTTTGAGCTTCCAGTGTAAAAGCAGTTCAACCTCAGGCTCCTAACTTCCTGCATATCTCAGCTCCTGACTGAACTGCAGTGAGCATTTACACTCCATCAAAGGAGCCGCTACGCCGACCTAACGTCACCTCATTTGTTAACAAAGCATGAAGAAGAGAGTCCTTCTGTTTCCAGTCCTGGACCGTGGCGGACCGCAGCAAACGCTCCACAGTTTGGCTTAGCTTCACTAAAAGAGAGAAGGCCACAGCAGAATGCAGCAGCTGCAGTAAGGAGGTTTGGTGCGAGGCAGGAAGCAGCTCCAACATGACGAAGCGTTTACTTCAACACGGCGTGAATCTGAAGGAACGCACCGTGTTGAACGTGCCGCGCTCTCCCAGCTACAATGACGCCCCAGATCCAGCTAACGCTAACAGTAGCAACGTCTCAGGTACAAAACACCTTTTATACTAAAGGGAAACCAGTGATGGCTACAAATGAGTCCCCAGAGACGCCCCTCTAGGACAGAGACTCCTTTCACTTTAGCCATGAAGGGGATGATGAGCAAGGAAGAGGATGAAGGTCACCGAGCGCTGACAGGATCTGCGCTGAAGGAACCAGACCCCTGATTCAATAAGAACCGGATTCAATAAAATTTCAACAATATCCAACCCTAATAACAACAACTTCTCAGAAAGCTCTAAGACAAACGATCCTCCCTGCACAACGGTTTCCAACTGACTGATCCATTCCAAGCACATCATGATCCTGTGGGGCAAATTCACCAATCAATTGATCAAATGGCATCACTAAATATAATAAAATTAAGCAGTGATTTGTCACCTTCACGGTCTTCTTGGCGTACTTGTCCAGGGCGGATCCCTGGGTCTTGAAGATGGCCACGTTGGCCTTCAGCAGGTCCTTCCTCTCCATCCCCTCCTTCCTGGGCATGGAGCCCACCAAGATGGCGGCGTCGATGTCCTTGAAGCCCACCTCTACCTTGTCAGTGGGGATCACCTCTGGGGGGGGGGCATCGGGAGGTGTCAGTTATTTCTTTTTTAAGGGACAATGCACATTAGGGTATGATTATTATAAGTAGTAGTAGTAGTGTATATTGTGTTCAGGGCTTTGTGTACAGTTTTTGTATTTGTGGTAATATTTGACAAGTACATTAAAAATAAAAGGCAACTGTTTGTGACGACTGAATAGTGTTCAGCTGTAAATCTCTTCTTAATCTCGAGCATTAAAGTTACATTTCAACGATAACTGATGTCAAAGTAAAGCCGTTTGCCTATGAAGTTATGAATGGTTTTCATCATCAATTCCAAAAATAGAAGATTCAGAAGATTTTCTTGAACAGAGACTAAAGATTTTTGAAAATAAAATCTTCACCTCAACTAATATTTAAAGTTTAAAGAAGAGGAACATCTTATTTCTTACTCACAGATTTAAATCATTTACCTGCAAGGCTAATTTTTTATCAACATTTATTAACAGCCTGTTGAACTGAGGGATATCTTATCTGTTGTCTGCAGATAACAGAACAGCTGCCCTGCTACAGGAACATAGCAATGTATTTCTACAGATAAGCTCCATTAATTTCAAAATAAAAACGTCGACCTTCTCTTGATTTTCACATTGCACAACTTTCATTCATTTATTCCGTTTTCCGCTTGTTATTTAACGTCCTCGGTCCAGAGTCTTATTGTGAAAGGGTTCATTTCAGATAAATTCCTGCCGCCTCGGCTGATCCTGACGATAAGATGCGTCCGACTGTCTGGTTCTTGGAACTAACCGCGCTGCTATCAGACTGGACTTCAGTCCGGGTTCACGTCCCCTCTTTTCATTGTTGTCCCACCACTGCTCTGATTGGCTGCTGTGGTGCCTTAACCACCGGCCAACCAGAGGCCTTATTTGAGACACTCCTTCCTGCTCCCCACAGCAGCAGCAGAGGGGAGGTTATGAAGGACAAACAACACAAACACACCATTAAAATGTGCTCCTGCTGGAACACGAGCAGCTCAGACAGCTTTTGTGGACAGCACAACGAGCCGCAGTAGTTTCTCCAGTAGTTTCTCCCTAGTTCTGACTGAAGCAGCTTCTTTTAGGCACCAGCTCAACTCGGCCTGACTCGTTTAGGTTTTCCCTTAGGCAAATCTGATACCTGGTAGTTTTTCTTTGGTATCACCTCCGTCGAGGTTCCAAGCGACTCGGGGCGATACCCAAAGGTGATGTGAAAACACTGCAACAACTGATTGGTCAGAGAATCAGTGTAGGCCGGTATGCAGCTAGTCCTGCGTTGTGTTTACAGCTGTGCCGCTGCTGCTAACGTTAACTCAGTTAGTTTGCTTTTAATTTAGGATTCCTTTGGTGTTTTGACTGTTCAGATTGTTTCTCCCGGGAGTAGAATTACCACTGAAAACATGTCCTCTCCAAAACAAACAGACCCAGTCATTAAAAACACTGAATAAAGCGGTTTCATCCTACAAAAACGCGCGTCTCTTCAGTGGATATAAGGGCGCGTCAGAAAGCCGGCCTCTTGACAGGGTAAGAGGTGTCAGCTGAAAATGCGACGTGGGTTTGAGGAGCTGCAATGTAAAACGGAGGACAGGGCACCAAAGCGAGCAGAGCTGGTACCATCCGGCGGTAAAGGGGCATTAGTTAGTTTAACATTTTGTTCTTATCAGCGTGATAAAAGAGGTAGCTGTCCCCATGGGTACCTAAACTACACGCACACCATCTTAGAAAAGCTGACACGAATATTTCTATTTAAACACAGCAAGAAGGTCGTCGGTTCAAACCCCGGTTGCCCCGGCCTTTCTGTGTGGAGTTTGCATGTTCTCCCCGTGTCTGCGTGGGTTCTCTCCGGGTGCTCCGGCTTCCTCCCACCATGAAAAACACACTGCATCACACACTGTTTGCTCACCCCTCAGCAAAGGGAGGGCGCAGTCCTGCAGCTCCATGACAACTCCGTCCAGCACCGGCAGCATGGGGGGGATGTCCAGCAGGACCAGGATGATTGGCTGAAAAACGAGAGGGACAACAAAGGTACAGTCAAACATTTCATTTACAGCTTACTGTTTCAATACATAGAGCTGAAAAGAGACTTTAAAAAGGTCTCATCAGGCCACATTCAGGGACACAAAGTCAGGTTTTAAACTGTAATAATGCAGCGGCTGGAATCAGGCCTAAAAATAACAAATGCCACATTTCACTTCTTTCTGAAGATGTCTTATTAGGAAAACCTCAATTTTAAAACCTCCAAGGTTTCCCACATTTTTCTCATAAAACGTTCCACAACTTCAATGTAAACTGTTCATGAATGAACGCAGAAGTACATAGAATACATCCGTGCATTTCTTAAAATATTATGATATTCTTCCTTTTGTTTGAGGTTATCTGCCTTTAACATTTCCCCATCCCATTACTCCAATAAAGGTGTAGGTATCCCACATTAAAATATGTATTCATGAGTCCATTATGTAACAGTCCAGCCCCACACACACCGTGCATCGCCCAGCTGTCTGTGCAGTAATCAACTTCAGGGGCAAGGGGGCTCTGCTGCAGGTTATGTAACTAGGACTTTAGGCTCAGTCTTACCTGGTCCTTCCCGAACACATCTCCCTTGGCGATGCTGTACAGCAGGGAGTAGGCAATCTGGCCAGCGGCGCCGGTTACCACAACACGGATTGGTTCAGCCTGGAGGGAAACAAACACATTTGGTTCATGTGTGTCATTAACCTGCATACACAACAGAAGGAGGAAATGAACAGGCAGTAACATGCATTCAGTGGCAAGAACTGGTTGGATCACTAACTGTGATATTTTAAAATTATAAAGCCTAAATTTAACAGAAGAAATAATCACAGAGGCTGCTGGATCAGAAGGCCTTTATCAGTGACTCCTCCTGTGGAACTCAGCCCTTCTGTGCGAAGAGGACTTTTCACCTAACTCCATTAAGAAAGTCGTGCATTGTAGAGTGACCTTGCATATTGGCAAGGGTAGGTGGGACATTCAGTTTAATTTTAGATTTCTCATATGACCCGAGGTCGCTCTTAAATTCGGCATGCATAAAAATCAACCAAGCAGCTGATTAACATTAAGAAACCTTCAGCTTTATTTATGATTATTTACGCAACTCTAACGCTCGTCGCTGTGAAATAATGAATGAAAAGGAGGAAACTAGTAGAATAACGGAGATATTTAAGTACGATAACTGATGTAGAGTAGTTTATATGGAAGCCGAAATGAAGGAAGTTTCCAGTACATTCAGAAATATCCCTGCATCATATTTTCACCGGTTGCAACTTGTCGGACAAGCGAGGAATCGTTAAATTGCCATGTATGTGAACCGAGATTCAAACTGATGAAGCTCCTGTCATGATTGGTTACCCCGACTGAATAAAAGAATAGGCCGATGATGTAACTTGACGCTGCCGCCACGACACAGCGTGTCCTTATTAAAATGGAGGCAGATGTATGAATGCACAGAGGACTAGCAAGTTAAAACAGCGGAAACAAACCTGCACTCTCTGCTGCAGGCGCAAACGTTTTATTTTCGGGGTTTTCTACATCTCTAATGTGCGTGTTGTAAGTGCGCAACAAACTGGCAGCTCTGCCCTTGGTTGTTTAATCAGGAGTTCAGGACACAAAAAACATCCATTACACCACTTGAAATAAATTATACATAAAGTGAGATTAAGTTGAATTGCCCTATTCCCAATGTCATCTATTAATGCATCATTTAATAGACCGGTAAACTGTTTCATGGAGATCAGAAGTTTTATAGAGGACGTCCTTTATATAATTTATACCTGTACTATGGGAAAATAGTCAGCTAATGATCCATCTTACCATTTCTGCTAGCGGATGGAGGTGCTTTAGGTCTGCGGTTCCTGTTCTCCCTGCTCAGAGTCGGACTAGACGGAAGGAAGGGTCACCTCTGTTCTTGTGTTGTACAGTCAGGCGGTGAAACGACTCGTCCCGCACTCACTGTGGGACTTGTAGTCGATTTGTGAAACGAACACAGGCTTTACAACCCAGCCGATTGGACAAAGAGAACTCATTCTCCCATGATGCACCGCACTGACCACACCACGCCAAATACGGCGGAGGATTTTCTAAAAAGGGTTCTTTTTTAACTGAGATTCAGGGAGATGAACTTTGGCGACACCTCGTGGCCGACAGCGGAACCGCAGCGCTTGTCCCGCAGAACAACGCACTGCTTTGAGATCTGCCCTGTTACTGTTTGTGGTCTGTGTCAAACACTATAAAGCAGTGGTTCTCATACTTTTTCATGTCAAAGACCCCTAAACTGACACAAATTGGACCCCTATTTGCCGCCCTGCTTCCCATTGTGAAGTGTGTTTGTGTTTGCCTATGTTTCTTGCATAGTTTCACATGTCTCATTAATTTGTTTGTCCCACTTATATTATTTTTCACTCCCAGGCTGTGGTTGTAAATCAGAATTTTGTTATTAACTAACTTGGCTGGTTAAATAAAGTAAATTTGATATGATGGCTGTGTACTCCACCACGGCCGCCCCGCTAACGCACGCACGTTCAACCTGGACCCGCCTCTAATAAACCACCTAGCAGCATCACAGCTGTTGATCACTCCGGGAATCACTTTAAAATTCCTGGAATGCCTAGAGAATCCATCAAGGATTCACCAAGGAACCCACTTTAAGCCCACATAAGCGACCCTGGGAAAAACAGAGGTACCCCCGCATCCACCTGAAGAACTACGAGTCATCCCATATGGACCTTTAGATACTGAAAACCCTTAAGAAGATTGGAATTTCTCAAAAAAACCCTCTCAAGAACGTCTACATCCTGCTTTAATTGTGCAAGTAACAGCCCTAAGAAAACGTCACCCGTTGGGACCCCTTCAAAACCCTTGAAACCTCCACAAAGACCCCTTGGGTCAACACATCCCCCAGGAACCCCCTTAAAAACTCCAGGAACACCTCAAGAAACCCATCAATAACCCCAGGAACCCACGTGAAACCCCCTAAAACAAATAAATAACGCAAGGAACATCCTCAGGAACCAAAACTCCTCTAGGACCCTTGAATCCTGGAAACACTGGAGTGCCTTTTGTATCCCTGGACACCACTGAAATCCCATCGAAAACCTTTGAAGAACACAAAGACCTATGACCCCTTAAGGAAAACATTTCAGACATGTTCCTCATAAAGTCCTTGAATCTTGGAACTTGAAGTTTCTTTGGGGGCTGCAGTATTTCTAAAAATCCTGGCAATGGCCCCAAAAACCTCCCATTATATAAATCCATCTGGTTTCCTAATATCTAACCATGGGGATTGTTAAGGTATTATTAGCCAAGATACGTAGATGTCTCCCACGGAGACAGACACAATGAGTGCTTTCTGGGTTGCTTATGGGTTTCAGGAGGTTTCAAGTGGGTTCCTTGGGTTATTGATGGGTTTCTCAAAAGAGGAGGTGTTTCTTATAAGTTTAGTTATTGTGGGGATTATCCTGTGTGACTGTTTTCAACTCTGGTTCAAAGGTGAAAGGTCACTAGGGGTCAAGTTCACTCCCCTGACTACAGGAAGGCGCTCGGTTCAGTTGCCAGCTCATTAAGTTGTTCAGCTTGTTGTCTGCAGCCTCGCGGAAGGTAAATCTGAGCAGAGCCAGACTGTCTGATCTCCTGGCATTTATAGAGCAGAACAGCAGAAAGTCCAGACGTCCCCAAGATTACATACACACTTCAGTCAGGAGGTCAAAAGAAAAATATGTTGTGACATTAAGAGTTTTTCTTAAATGTCTTCAAACTTGACAATTTTCCAAAATCCTACATCTAATTTTCAACTTTTCTGAAACTAATTTATCTGAAACTCACTATAGAACATAATAGGAAACTAAAATTGCAGATATTTACAACAAAGTCTCCCACAAAACCTGGGACAGATTAGTGCCATTAAATGAAAATCAATTCAAACAAAGACAAATAATCAAACAACTGATGGAATAACAAAATAAACATAAACTGTGTCATCAGCCAGTTGGTTCTCATTCCCAGGGAGTGAAATACCTTCGCTTTGACAGGTTCCTTTGGCGTATGGTCCCAAAGCACATGGCACCTTTTAGTGTCATTATTCAATGCTTAAAAGTGGGTGGGTCAGAAACCGGACTTTCCCCAGGAGACTGTTACGCAAGTAACGTAACGTAGGCCTACTTAAGTTTAGTCATGCAGCAATTTTAACCCAAACCATGATCTTTTCTCAAACCGAACCAAGTAGTTTTGGTGCCTAAACCTAACCAAATTGTGATGTTTCACAATCGGAACTACTTGTTTTATTTTGAATGTCAAACCGGACATTGTTATTGCACCATGTGCAAAAAGGACTCTAAAGGGGTACCCAGGGTCTTGACCTGGTCATGACCAAGTGTCCATTTGTGGAGCCCTGGGATGAGAATGGGTCGCATTAACTGATCTTCTCCTGGTAAATTTGTAGGTTTTGGTGCACAGAAAGAAATCTTTTGGAAAAACTTCAAAAACTGTGTACTGTCCACACGCTGTTCACTGAATTAAAGTAAGTAACTAAAACAAAAACCTTACTTTATCCACAATTAGAGTATGTTTCACCTGGACCTTACCTAACTCCGCAACTCAGAATCAGAACCAATACCAAACAGGTGTGGTTTCACTTGACTTAGTTGAAATAGTGTAGTAGGCTACAGTGGAGTTAATGGGACTACACAGGAGTGCATTGCAACTGTAGCCAAAAGTATATGGACATCTGTACCTTTCCTCTGGGGTTAGGTTTCCTGGTTTGAGCCACTTAGTTCCAATGAGTGGAAATTAATTTTTAGGCAATAGTGTTTTATCTCCCTAATTTGGTGTGGAAGAACTTACAGCCCTGACCTGAATGTCATCCAACACTTTACAGCCATGTCCCAACATCTTGCAGAAAGCCTTAAGTTGTTAAGTTAGAGGAGTTGAGGCTGCAGCCACAGCTTAACGACTTGTTCAGTTACCACATAGTGGCAGGAGAGTTTTTATACACAGTCTATGGAGAGTTCAGCTGTCCACATACTTTTGTCAAACCAACTGCTGCCTGAAAGGAAAGAGGTCAGAATAAAAGTGAAGTAGGCGTAGGTGTAATGTGAGGGATGTTCTTTCAGGGAGAGTAGAGAGAGAGTGCTATCAGTTTCAGCATGGTCCTTCAGCCTATCAAGGACACCGGCAGCCATGTTGGATCTGTGCTGGGTTCAGTTTCTGAGAAGCTGCCTGGAGATAAAAACAGGCTGTAGTTCTGGGCTGCTGGCAGGAGCTGGCCACGGTGCTGATAATCTGCAGCCGGGACTGCTGCATCAAGGCAGCGGCAAAAACAGGTAAAAGAGCAGGAAGCCCCCTTATTCAGCCTTCAAAATTAAAGCACAAAGGTTGTCGTTTTATCATAATCCATGAAAAGGACTTCTTTAAAAGATTTCTTTTCATTTATTAAACATATTAACATTGGTAGTTTGTTTGCTCACCATATACCGTTTTCTATTTGTTTCATATAGGTTTAATAATGTGTTTTTTTCTTCTTTTTTTAGCTTAAATGCACTTTTTAATGTAAAGTATTTCTTGAGTAATCGTTGGGTCATAACTTTCATCCAGGATTAACAAAACATTATCTTATCTTATCTAATCTTTGTTTATCTTCACAACAATGCTGTATCTTGTTGTTTTTTCACATTAAATCCTATGAGTAGGTTTATTAATTATGACTTTTTCCACTTATAACACTACAACATTCCCTTAAACATTAACTAAAAATGTATTTTAAAAGGTATATGGATATTAATGTTTGTTCTTCTATTATATTCCTATACTGTTGCATAAAAATTTCTGGCTTTCATTATATTGTGCTTTAGATAGACCAGTATATTAGATAAGTAAGGAAGGCAAGAGTTTATTGTCTTCCTGTGAATAAAATTACCACTTTATTTTTTTTATCCTTCTTTAAATTGCTTTGCCTTTTTGTACTGTTTCAAGTCAAAATTCGGTCTTCCCAAATCAAAATGACGAAATAATTCATAATTGACAGAGATATGAGAACATCAAAATGGTGAGATACTAAATCATACTTTTAAGATAAATGATTAGATACAAAGTCAAAATTCTGAATTACCCAGACAGTTATTAGATAAGTCCATACTTTGACAAATCCACAGTTTTCATTAAATCATTGCCTGGAGATGTTATTTAGGGTAGGCCCCACATACCATGAGTAATACATTATTACTACTGACTTTTTAAACATGCTTTCCTTTCCCAAGGGTATAATTGGCTGCCGTACTATTAAGACTTTGTAGTAAATGCTTCTTTCTTGCCGGCAATTTGTACTTATCTTACATAAAAATAATAATCAGACCTATTCAGTGTTCGAATATTGGTCTTTTATTTTGAAGACTAGCCGGAAGTCGTGTTGTTTTACCCGGACTGGCTTCACTGTGGCACCGAGCAACTTGTCAAAGCTGCCAAGTGGAGACTCTCACTGAATTGATAATGACGGGGTCAAAAAAAAAAGAGACGCAACCTGCCGAGTTCATTCACCTTCATTTCCGGCGGCCATTTTTATACCTGAAGTCTAACGGAGAGAAAAAAAAATAAAAGGCCCGGTAAAAAAAAACAAACAAACACAGGGGGCTATTTCCTCGTCAAGTAACCTCATCTGTTCACCACTACAGATTAATAAACCACGATGAGATACACCAAACTACCGCAGACATGTTGAACCTGACTTCGTTTTGGGAGGGAAAGGTAGTCCTAACGGTCAGTAACGGCTGGAATGCTGCGTTCAAGGACGCACGGTCATCTGCGCGCGGTGGTCCAGATAGGCTATCAAACGGCAGCGCGGCGTTCAACTCACCTGCGAGGAAACCGCCCGCACCACCAGATACATGGAGGTCAGCAAAGTCAACATGGTTCCTCCGGTGTTTCTGTTGTTGTTCACTGATAACTGACGTCCTCTGGAGCAGAAATGGCGGCTCGACCCG